ATATAGGAAATGTGAATAGGCCAGGGCAGAAGGGGAGATACCATAACTGTTTAGCAAACGTTTGGTCAAAATTTGGGCTTCACTTGTCTCTGCTGTGTTGTAATATGGTGCTACGAATGGCAAAACTAACTGACGATGCCGACTACGATGTTGGCGAAACGTCTGGGAATGTACCACGTCCACGGTCCAACTTTGGAAATGATTATGCACACAATGGACTCCGAACAAGGTGCGTTGCTCTAATTCTTCCTAACAATATGACCGAGTTGCAAAAACAAGGCCAAACAACTTCAATACTCGAAATGTTTGTGCGAATTCACTTAGGTTTTCGTTATTTTAGTCAATGCCAAAATACTCAGATCAGCATTCTGGATACTTGTTCTACAACAAGAGCTCTCTCCATTATTTTATGCTCAAGAGTTCAACTATAGAAGAGGGTCTTTTTGGGACCTCAAAATGGATTTATTGTCAGATGTATCATAGACAGGAATAATGCAGAGCTGTATACAAAACAAGCAAATTCGAAAGTATATCTTTCGTTTATAAGCGGGTTTCCAAAACTACCACCTTAAACAAAATATATGTCATATAAATTCGAATGCATTTTCCTTTACCTCAGGCTTACCTATTTAAAAGCTCATATTTATATATATATATATGTAATGGATTCATTGACTATTCGTTTCGCTATCATCAATAATATTTACACTACTATAGCAGTAGTACAAGTTTTTTAGATAAACAATAACCTTTTTAATGAAAATCTAGCTAAAATTCTCAATCTGATGTCCTAATTTAATTTTTTATGACGACATTGCATTTTTTTAATGACTCTTGCAAAAATATGCATTAAATTCCCTACCACCCTTAAATTCTTAAATTCAAAACGTGTAATTCTTGATGGCCAGATTATCTTCGCTGCCCATGGTGCTATCGTGCCTTTGATCGTGATGTCGCATTGCGACACGCTGGTACATGCGCCCAGAAGACAGCAGAGTCAGGAGGATTTGCGCCCTTGCCTCTTGGAAGACCCGTGGCGGCCACTCGAAAGGGAAAAACAGACAGAGCTTGGCAAGTAAGATGGGTTATTTTTACGAGAGATTGCTCAACCCATTTTGCCTTTAGACAGGTGGAGGATCAAAGGTTGACAGGCTTTTCAGTAGGTATGACTTGATCAAAAATCCATTAATATTGCATATTATCTTGAGTCAACCACTCACGTGTCATCCTTTTAAGCTGGGGATTTACACCTTGGCTAGTGAGCCAATCTC